CAACTGATTTTTCTGCACTTCTAAAATGATGTTTTATTCATTAGTTGCCTTCCTTTGCTCATGTGTGTGGGTACACCCTCCCTTTCTGTATCAAATGCTACTGTCTGGGTGTGAACATCTCCTTTTGCTTCTAGATTAAATGTGCCATTGTTCACCATTAATATATATACACATTCACACAACGAATAGGAAACAGAGTGACTGATTCCTGTCATGGGATGAGCAAGCAGTCATCACTGGGAATTACTTTATGTTATACCAAAGATATCCTTAGCATTTAAAATTGTTGTCTAAAATTCAGGCTATTTACAGGCGAAGAGAGAGAAAGACATTGACGGTATGAATAGTCAACTACTGGATTGTATTCTGAATTTTAATCCATAGCAATGAGCTTTGGTAATATATATATACAATGATATAAATAATATCAAACTTTTCCTACATATATATATATATTATATATATATATATATATATATATAAAGAGGTATTTTATATTTTTGTTTTTTTCTGGTTTTTTGTGGCTGGACCATGAGACTTGCAGAATCTCAGTCCCCTGGCCAGGGACTGAGCCCAGGCCACAGCCAGTGCAAGTTCAGAATTCTAACCACTAAGACTATGAGGGAACTCCCCCACGGACGAGGTGTTTTAGACTTCAGGTTGTCACAACTTTTATTTATCCAAAATTTCACTGGGTAAAACACTGGTAGTATTAGAGCCTATCCCTCTGTATCTCCTCCCTGCCCCAACTGTTGAAAGCAAGCCTCCCTGCCCCAACTGTTTACGCCCACAGGTCTGAAAGTCTGAAAGAGGGACTGAACCTTCAGACAATGATTTAGGCTTTTTAGATTTGGTCAAAGAAGTTCCATCCTGAGATTATTTCATCTGAGAACATTTTAAAGACAACTAGAGCCCTAGAAGTGTTCTATAACTCTGCCAAAGTCACACAACTCGTAGCTCAGGTCACACAAAGCCCAGCCTCATGGGGTACATCCAACATCATGAGGTTCTTCCCTCTTAGGGTTTACAGCAAGATACAAATACCACTTCTGAAGAAACGCTATTACAGAAGAAGCAAATCTGACCGTGACAATTACCTAACATTGCAGCCACTTATACAGATGCTGGGGTTCTGCTTCTAGTAGGACTCATTACCAGGCTTCCCAGGAGGTTCAATGGTAAAGATTCCACCTGCCAATGCAGGAGACACAAGAGATACAACTTCGGTCCCTGGATTGGGAAGATCACCTGGAGGAGGAAATGGCAATCCGCTCCAGTATTCTTGCCTGGGAAACCCCAAGGTCAGAGGAGCCTGGAGGGCTAGAGTCCATGGGTGACAAAGAGTCGGACACGACTGTGTCACTGGGCACACAGACACAGTATTCATTATAAAAACATGAAAAGGAAGACACGTATTTCATACTCATAACATGCCAACATCACCCCATATATTCATTTAAGCCTCACAATACTAAAAGGGAAGCATTATTAACTTTGTTTTAGAGAATATGCCTTTAAAGTTCAAGTGATTGAACTTGAAATAGTTAAATTCAGTTTAGTTCAGTCACTCAATAATGTCCGACTCTTTGTGACCCCATGGACCGCAGCATGCCAGGCCTTCCTGTCCATCACCAACACCCAGGGCTTACTCAAACTCAAGTCGATTGAGTCGATATTGCCATCCAGCCATCTCATCCTCTGTCGTCCCCTTCTCCTCCCGCCTTCAATCTTTCCCAGCATCAGTCAGGGTCTTTTCCAGTGACTCAGCTCTTCACGTCAGCTGGCCAAAGTATCGGAGTTTCAGCTTCAGCATCAGTCTTTCCAATGAAGATTCAGGACTGATCTCCTTTAGGATGGACTGGGTGGATCTCCTTGCAGCCCAAGGGACTCTCAAGAGTCTTCTCCAACACCACAGTTCAGAAGCATCAGCTCTTCGGCGCTCAGCCTTCTTCACAGTCCAGCTCTCACGTCTCACGTCCATCCACGCCCCCTGGAGAAACCGCAGCTTTGGCTAGACGGACCCCTGTAGCCAAAGCAATGTCTCTGCTTTTTAAATGCTGTCTAGGTTGGTCATAGCTTTTCTTCCAAGGAACAAGTGTTTTTTAATTTCATGGCTGCAATCACCATCTGCAGTGATTTTGGAGCCCAAAAAAAAGAGTCTCTCACTCTTTTCACTGTTTCCCCATCTATTTGACATGAAGTGATGGGACCAGATGCCATGAGCTTAGTTTTCTGAATGCTGAGCTTTAAGCCAACTTTTTCACTCTCCTCTTTCACTTTCATCAAGAGGTTCTTTAGTTCTTCTCCATTTTCTGCCATAAGGGTGGTGTCATACCTGAGGTTATTGATAATTCTACCGGCAATCTTGATTCCAGCTTGTGCGTCCCCCAGCCCAGCATTTCTCATGATGTACTCTGCATATAAGTTAAATAGGCAGGATGACAATATACAGCCTTGACATACTCCTTTCCTATTTGGAACCAGTCTGTTGCTCCATGTTCAGTTCTAACTGTTGCTTCCTGACCTGGATACAGATTTCTCGGGAGGCAGGTCAGGTGGTCTGGTATTCCCATCCATTGAAGAATTTTCCACAATTTGTTGTGATCCACCCAGTCAAAGGCTTTGTCAAAGTCAATAAAGCAGAAGCAGACGTTTTCCTGGAACTCTTTTGCTTTTTCCATGATCCAGCGGATTTTGGCAATTTGATCTCTGTTCCTCTGCCTTTTCTAAATCCAGCTTGAACATCTGGAAGTTCACAGTTCATGTATTACTGAAGCCTGGCTTGGAGAATTTTGAGCATTACTTTACTAGCGTGTGAGATGAGTGCAATTGTGCGGTGATTTGAGCATTCTATGGCATTGCCTTTCTTTGAGATTGGAATGAAAACTGACCTTTTCCAGTCCTGTGGCTACTGATGAGTTTTCCAGATTTGCTGACATATTGAGTGCAGCACTTTCACAGCATCATCTTTTAGGATTTGAAATAGCTCAACTGGAATTCCATCACCTCCACTAGCTTTGTTTGTAGTGATGCTTCCTAAGGCCCACTTGACTTCGCATTCCAGGATGTCTGGCTCTAGGTGAGTGATCACACCATCTTGGTTATCTGGGTTGTGAAGATCTTTTTGTATAGTTTTTCTGTGTATTTTTGCCACCTCTTCTTAATATTTTCTGCTTCTATTAGGTCCATACCATTTCTGTCCTTTATTGTGCCCATCTTTGCATGAAAATTTCCCTTGGTATCTCTAATTTTCTTGAAGAGATCTCTAGTCTTTCCCATTCTATTGTTTTCCTCTATTTCTTTGCATTGATCACTGAGGAAGGCTTTCTTATCTCTCCTAGCTATTCTTTGGAACTCTGCATTCAAGTGGGAATATCTTTCCTTTTCTCCTTTGCTTTTCCCTTCTCTTCTTTTCAAAGGTATTTATAAGGCCTCCTCAGACAACTTTTTGCATTTCTTTCTCTTGGGGATGGTCTTAATCCCTGTCTCCTGTACAGTGTCATGAGCCTCTGTCCATAATTCTTCAGGCACTTTGTCTATCAGATCTAATCCCTTGAATCTATTTCTCACTTCCACTGTATAGTCGTAAGGGATTTGACTTAGGCCATACCTGAATGGTCTAGTGGCTTTCCCTACTTTCTTCAATTTAAGTCTGAATTTGGCAATAAGGAGTTCATGATCTGAGCCACAGTCAGCTCCCAGTCTTGTTTTTGCTGACTCTATAGAGCTTCTCCATCTTTGGCTGCAAAGAATATAATCAATCTGATTTTGGTGTTGACCATCTGGTGATGTCCATGTGTAGAGTCTTCTCTTGTGTTGTTGGAAGAGGGGGTTTGCTATGACCAGTGCGTTCTCTTGGCAAAACTCTGTTAGCCTTTGCCCTGCTTCATTCTGTATCCAAGGCTACATTTGCCTGTTACTCCAGGTGTTTCTTGACTTCCTACTTCTGCATTCCAGTCCCCTATAATGAAAAGGACATCTTTTTTGGGTGTTAGTTCTAGAAGGCCTTGTAGGTCTTCATAGCACCATTCAACTTCAGCTTCTTTGGCATTATTGCCCAGGGCACAGACTTGGACTACTGTGATACTGAATGGTTCGCCTTGGAAATGAACAGAAATCATTCTGTCGTTTTTGAGATTGCATCCAAGTACTGCATTTCAGACTCTTGTTGACTATGATAGATACTCCATTTCTTCTAGGGAATTCTTGCCCACAGTAGTACATACAATGGTCATCTGAGCTAAATTCACCCATTCCAATCCATCTTAGTTCACTGATTCCTAAAATGTCGATGTTCACTCTTGCCATCTCCTGTTTGACCACTTCCAATTTGCCTTAATTCATGGACCTAACATTCCAGGTTCCTATGCAATATTGCTCTTTATAGCATCAGACCTTGCTTCCATCACCAGTCACATCCACAAATGGGTGCTGTTTTTGCTTTGGCTCCGTCTCTTCATTCTTTCTGGAGTTATTTCTCCACTGATCTCCAGTAGCATATTGGAAATAATCCTTGCAGCTAGCAAATATAACAAAGTCAGTATTTGCATTGGAGCATTTAACTGTGCTCTCTAAGAGCATGTAAATATAAATAATTACATTTGTATCTGGGCACACATTATGGGGTGCCATCTATGGGATCGCACAAGAGTCAGACACGACTGAAGCGACTTAGCAGCAGCAGCAGCACACGTTATATGAAACAGTTTGGATTCGGATTTTAGAGCTGGAAAGTTTGTTGAGAACAATATATTGGCTTAGTAACCACTTTGGTGGATGATTTTTCCAGCATTCAGTTACATGCTGGGGAATTCAACAAACACACACCGTTCTGCTGCTGCAGGCGGGATACTATGCCTAGCAGTGAGGCAGAGCCATGAAGAAGGAAAAGTTGCCTTCTGTCTTCACCATGCTCACTTCCCTACAAGGTAAGTAGACGATTATGATAACAGCCACATGCCTGGCCTGGAAAACAAATCTTACGGCCGAGTTGGAGTGAGATGACAGTTAGGCACGTCTCCGACAGAGAAAGGAGCAGGGTGAGTTTCAGGAGCTGAAGGCCACTGCAGCTGGAGCGCTGTCAGCAAGCAGAAGGGCAGAAGGTGAGGTTCAGGAGAAAGGGATGACCCCACATGCAGGGCTGGTGGGCCAAGGGGAGGAGCCAGCTGATCCCCACCTTCACAGAGACAGCAGTTCAGCAAAAGCACCGAATTCCTGACAAACCCATATTTTCTAGGTGGCACGGGAGAGTTTACAGTACGATCACTTTCTCAATATTCCATTACCAACAGTCTTAGTACCTTTTCTCACAGATCAGCAACCTCAAACACTGACCAACATTTCCAAAGAACTTGATTTCCAAGCCATCCTTTTTGCCAAAGGTACATATGTCCATCACATATATGTGAAATAAATGTGGTCTCATTCCCAGTTCATCTAATGTGCTCTTCTCTCAAACTATAAATTATATTACTGGAAATACATAAGTGATGGAAAAACTATAAAATATAAAATACAAATTAAATTATGCTCAACTAATCATTGCCTTAAACTTAATGTTACTTCAAAGGTAGATTTATTCATTTATACTTGGATAATAGAGGGAAATGAGCACCCACCACATTTACAGAAAGGCGCTCTTGAAGAGAAGCAATCAATTGTGAAAATCCTCACAGTATTCAACTAAAATAAGAAGAATTAAATGGCGTGTGTGTAATTATATCTGCTTCTTACTACTCAATTCTGTTTCTAACTTGGTTTAAGAACGTCTTATTTTTAAACAAAAACTTAAATTAATGAACAGAAAAATCATGGATTATTGTTTAGTTTCTGTGCTTTCAAAGGATGAAGAAATAGTCTTTATAACCAAAAAGCTGATTACAAACTGAACTGTATTCAAAATTCTTGATGCATAATTTAGAAGTAATTGAACCCATATTTGCAGAAACCAGTAAAATTACTTACAAACTACTCTGTGGTGTTTCTATTCAGAGAAGGATATTCAACTATCGAAATTTCAAAGTTAGAGTCAATAGAATTTACAGCTTCTGACTTTACCATGTTAAACACTTCAATGTGATTACTACATTTATGAAAGTTAAAATTAACAATGCTGGCACATCTTCTATGAAAAGAATAGTCTTCATTTGCTCTTCTAAAACAAATACCATGCTTTGTACAAACATTTCATCATGCTTTTATGTTTTGGCAATTCAGATGCAGAGCAACTGGTTCATCAGCCTTATTTTTTCACTACTGGGAGTTGCAATAAAGTGTAAATGAAAAAAAAAAACTAATTAAATTGTCTTCTTTAAGCCCTACCTTGTACGTGTATCATGACGTATATGTCAGAGCAAAGGCAATGAACCAGATAATTGCCCCAAATTAGGAGATTGCGCCTCTGCTGACATTAAGTTTTAACCTAATAATTTCACTATTTAACTGAACTTTGCTCTACTAATTATGGGCACTTGTAACATTAAATATTTTTTAAATGTCAGTATATTGCCTACTTAGGGAAAATATTAATGCAGTATAATCAGCAGGCATTTGATAATACTGACAACACTACTCAGTTTAAACAAGCAAAGCAAGACTTCCCTAGTGGTCCAGTGGTTAAGAGTTTGCCTGCCAATGCAGGGGACGCTGGTTCTCTGCTCCAGAAGATTCCATGTGCTGCGGCGCAAGTGACCCCACGAGACACAACTACTGAGCCTGCAAGCCTAGAACTCATGCCCGGCAACAGGCGAAGCCGCCGTGATGAGGAGCCTGAGCACCGCAAGTGGAGAGGGGCCCCCGCTCACCGCAACTGGAGAAAACCCTGCATAGCAGTGAAGACCCGGCACAGCTAAAAATTGAAAAAAAGGAAAGTGAATAAGCCCACAAAGCACCAGGGAGGAAACGACAATGTTAACGCACCCAGCTCCCTGACCAGTTTATGCTAGTCATAATGCACATACATGTGTATGTTCTCGATATATTTTGTAACAGAGACATGATACAGGTTTTTTAACTTTCTATTTATTTACTTTATTTGGCTATTTATTTTATGTTGGGGGGTACGCTCTAGCTGCGGTGCGTGCGCCTCTCATTGTGGGGGCTCTCTCACTGTGGAGCAGGGCTCCAGGCTGTGTGGGCCCAGGAGCTGCAGCTCAAGCTCTGGAGCACAAGTTAGGCTCGTGCTGCCTCATTTCCCCGCAGCGCGTGAGATCTTCCCAGATCAGAGCCAAGCCTTGTCTCCTGCACTGGCAGGCGGGTTCCTCACCACTGAGTGCCCAGGGAAGCCCTCGAGGTAGTTTTGAAAAATCTACACAGAGCAGTACTTGCTCACTATTACTACCTCAGGCTGGACAAGTGGAACGAAGTCTGAGATGGTGTAGGGAGCAGGTAAAAAATACTGCTCTTATATGGAGAAAAGGGAGCCCACCTACACTGATGGTGGGAATAAAAATCCGTGCAGTCACTAGGAAGAACAGTGTAGAGGTTCCTTAAAAAACCAAAAACAGAGTCACCATACCATCCTGTGATCCAACTCCTGCGCATAGATCCAGACAAAACTATAATTCAAAAAGATGCATGCATCCCACTGTTCACACAGCAGCATTATTTACAAGGGCCAAGACAAGGAAGCAACTTACGTGTCCACTGACAGATGAATGGATAAAGATATGGTACATATATCCAATGGAATATTAGCCATAAAAAAGGATGAAATAATGTCATTTATGGCAACAGGGTGGATCTAGAGATTATCATCCTAAGTGAAGTATGCAAGACAGAGAAAGACAAATGTCACAGGATATCACTTATATGTGGAATCTAGAAAAACTACAGACAATTTACAAAACAGAAATAGGCTCAGACATAGAAAACAAACTTATATTTACCAGTGGGGATATTGGTGGGTGGAGAAGAAATAAATTAGGGGTTTGGGATGATATATACACACTCCTATATATAAAATAAGTAAACAGCAAATATCTACTGTATAGCACAGGGAAACATGCTCAGTATCTTGTGATAACCTGTAATGGAAAAGAGTCTGAAAAAAAAATATGTGTGTGTGTGTGTGAATGAGTGTGTGGAACTGAATCACTTTGCCATATACTTGAAACTAACACATTGTAAATTAACTATGCGTGCATTAACTATGCATGCTAAGTCACTTCAGTTGTGTCCTACTCTTTGCAACCCCATGGACCATAGCCCACTAGGCGTCTCTGTCCATGGAATTCTCCAGGCAAGAATACTGGAGTTGGTTGCTAGGCCCTCCTCCAGGATATCTTCTCAACCCAGGGATGGAAACTGCATCTCTTAGGTCTCCTGCATTGGCAGGTGGCTTCTTTACCACTAGTGCCAACTGGGAAGCCCAAAATTAACTATACTTCAGCTTAAAAATTGCTATTCTAATGTTCATCTTACAGAGGAAGAAACTGAGGCCGAGAGAGGTCACCGTCTCTAAGTAGGACTCTTCACGACACTGTTCTACGGCCTCTTTGCATGTGAGACAGAGACTGTCTAAAGGCCTGCTCTGCAATATACTTGAATTGATTTCTTAAAGAGATTTTTGCCAGCTAATATACAGGGGTATCAAACTTCACCTGCCTCCTATGGAGACAGTCCTCTTTCCAATACAGCCACTTCAGGCAATGGAACAATTTGACCACTAGTCGGTCAGCACGCTGCCTTTGCTGTTTGTTCATTTGTTGGACATGCTACTAAACCAGAAAAACTTGCACAGACTTTCAGTAGAGAAAGTGGTCCTGGAAATCCTTCTCTGCTGGCATACCTACTCTAGTTCTGATGCAACCCATAACTCAAAATTCAAATCTCCTACAAACTAGGCGGAGAAAAGCAACAAATATCCTTAGCAGGCCTCTCCATGACCATGAAGCGGTCTGCACCCAGTGCCTATCTAAAGGGGGACTCATCCCGCAGCTGAAGGCAGCTCTGGGGACTCCCTAGACCCCTTACTAGGGGTCACCAAGTGACCAAGTCCCCCTGGTAGATATGTGAGGTGTTTTTATTTTTTCAAATATTTAAGAACACTTGGACATCAGAGGATTTCACAATAAATCTGGATTTATGGTCTTATATGGGGCTTCCCAGGTGGCGCTGGTGGTAAAGAACCCATTTGCCAATGCAAGAGACATGAGAGACGTGGGTTCGATCCCTGGGGCAGGAAGATCCCCTGGAGGAGGGCATGGCAACTCCACTCCAGTATTCTTGCCTGGGAACTTTCAAGGACAGAGGAGCCTGGTGGGCTATAGTCTGCAGGGTCACAGAGTTAGACACGACTGCAGCAATCTGGCATGCGTGCGCACCTGGGAAGCATAAAGGTCAGGTCTGGGCAGGGTCTCTCGTGACAACAAGCAGCCATGAGCCGCCCCCACGAGACCGGGCACTGGATCGCTAGTAGCTCATAATCGCCATCACTTGTTAAAAAAATTTTTTGGCCATGGAGTATGTGAGATCTTAGCTCTCAGACCAGGGATCGAATCCTTACTACCCTGCTTTGGAAGCTCAGAGTCTTAACCCCTGGCCCGCCAGGGAAGTCCTCCTCATCACTTTCTGTTATCTGACATCAGGCCCACTTCATACATTACCTATGACTCCTCAGTCTAGACATTTGAATTTCTGTTGCTTGTTCTAATCCAAGATTTCCTCCAGTTCTGAAATTCTGTTTCACAAAGAGAGAACAGAGACATCACTGAATTGTGTCCAGTGACTTGTTCAAGATCACTAGGCTAGGATTACCTAAGAGCATGGCCACGCTAGAATCCAGCTGTTCTGAAGTCCAGGCTGTTGTTTTTCCCAGCTCCTCTGGCTGCCTCCTATCTACACATGAAGTGATGTGATTCCAGTATGGAGAACCAGGAATATTTTTCTTACAGCTATGAGGAAAGCTAACTCAGCCTCCAGAAGTGATAGAAAAATCTGGGTGTTAGGTTAGGGTTTGAATAAATGGCTTTCATAAATCCTATTTATAGAAAAGATTTCAAAAGCTGAGAATGAATAGGAAAGAATATAAACGTAGGGCTACAGGAAAGAGAAGGCCCTGCTATAGTTTGGGCTGCTTCTGTGACAGTCAGCTCCCTGAGAATTTCCTGTGTGGTCTGGAGTCACCTGCATGCAGCCGTGGCTTCAAAGCTCCCTCCACCCCAGGGTGGGACCTGGCTTCCCACGGGCCTTTAAGAAGTTCTCATAAGCACATTCTGACTTATGGCAAAAACCATGATAGGCCTACAGGTCATCCCAAAGATTAGAATAAAAACTTGTCCAAATGTTTTATAATGAATTGCTGAGAAAATTAATCCCTCTGAGAGAATCATACACAATTTACAAATGACTAGGATATGTAAAATAATTTGATAATTCTTTT